TGCTAGTCTGGAGATTGAATCAAGGTTGAAAATACTAGTACATTACCATGGTTATTTGAGAACCCACCACGTTTCCTTATTTGCCTAAGTGAGAAACATACGGTTATCCTGACGGATCAGAGGGAGTGTGCAGGAATGGACACAGAGACCAGGTCCTAACCAGTCAAGGTCATAGGAATGAGAGAACCCCAGAGGCTTCCAGGGCCACTGGAGAAACCGAACTGGTGAAACTTGTTGGAAAGTGTGTGTGAGTGTTAACCGACCATGAAGACTCCAGGATGACTTCTAGGTTTCTGGCTCAAACAACTGGGCAGATGATGATGGCATTCACTGAGAGAGGACAAATGGATGAGGGGAAAATTGGCGGGGGGGGGGCGGAGAAGAAATGACACAGTGTTAAAATCCTAGACTTTAAGCCCATGATAGGTATTTTCTGCCATTCTTTAGGCAGAGAACACATACCACAAATCACATTTCCAAAAGGCCCCTTTGGGCACTGGAAGGAAGTCATTGAAAATCTTCATCTGGAGACTTCCGGTAAGATGGAGGCATAGGTGGATACACCGTACCTCCACGCACAACCAAGATTAGAACAACAACAATTTAGAGGCAGAATAACACCCAGAACTGATAGAGAATTTATCTGAATGGAAGTTGGACAGCCAAGAAGTTGAAGTAGACCCGTTCATCCAGACCAGTAGGAGGGGCAGAGAGGAGCAGCCGGGCGCGGGTCGCAGCACACGGAGAACAGGGAGAACTGGGTGCATAAGGCAACTGGGAGCATGTAAGGCATCTGGGGTGCGCAAGATCGCAACGGGTGGACCCTGAGTACGCAAGCAGGAGCTGGCGGACCCAGTGAGGTGGTGATTGTGGACTGGGGCAGAGCACACAACCCAGGATCCCAGGGAAGGGACTGAGGTCCCAGGAGAATGGAGCTACTGCCATTGTTCCCCCTGCCCCCACATACAACATCACAATCTAGTGACTGGGGTGCCCAGCCCCAGTGAACACCTAAGGCTCTGCCCCTCACCATAACAGGAGCAACCAGACCAAAAAAAAAAAGAGAGAGAGAGAGAGACATGTGTCAAACAGAAGAACAGATCATTGCCCCAGGACTCATCCTTTTGAGCGACCAAGAAATAGCCAATCTATCAGATGCACAGTTCAAAACACTGGTGATCAGGAAGCTCACAGAACTGGTTGATTTTAGGCACAAATTAGATAAAAAAAAATGCAGGTTACCATAAAAGAGATGAAGGAAGATGCACGGAGAACCAATAGTGGTGGGAAGGAAACTGGGACTCAAAACAATAGAGTGGACCAGAAGGAAGAAAAAAAACAACCAAACAGGAAACAATGGAGAAATAAGAATTCAAAAAAAATGAGGAGAAGCTTAGGAACCTCCAGGACATCTTTAAACGTTCCAACATCCGAATTATAGGGGTACCAAAAGGGGAAGAGGAAAAGCAACAGATTGAACACACATTTGAACAAATAATAAAGGAGAACTTCCCCATTCTGGCAAAGGAAATAGACTTCCAGGAAATCCAGGAAGCTCAGAGAGCCCCAAAGAAGTTGGACCCAAGAAGAAACACACCAAGGCACATCATAATTACATTAACCAAGGTAAAAATGAAGGAGAGAATCCTAGAAGCAGCAAGAGATAAGGGGACAGTCACCTACAAAGGAGTTCCCCATCAGACTGTCAGCTGATTTCTCAGAAGAGACCTTACAGGCAAGAAAGGGCTGGAAAGAAGTATTCCAAGTCATGAAAGACAAGCACCTATATCCCAGATTGCTCTATCCAGCAAAGCTTTCATTTAGAATGGAAGGGCAGATAAAGTGCTTCTCAGATAAGGTCAAGTTAAAGGAGTTCATCATCACCAAGCCCTTATTTTATGAAATGCTAAAGGGATTTATCTAAGAAAAGAAGATAAAGAAAAAACATGTATAGTAAAAGGACAGCAAACTCACAATTATTAACAACCACACCTAAAGCAAAACCAAAAGAAACTAAGCAAACAACTAGAACAGGAACAGAACCACAGAAATGGAGATCACATGGAGGGTTAGCAACAGGGGAGTGGGAGGAGGAGAGAGAGGGGAAAGGTACGGAGAATAAGTAGCATAGATGGTAGGTAGAAAATAGACAGGGGGAGGGTAAGAATAGTATGGGAAATGTAGAAGCAAGAACATAAGTATGACACATGGACATGACTAAAGGGGGGATATGGGTGAGAGAGGGTGTACAGGGTGGAGGGGAGTGAAGGGAAAATGGGACAACTGTAATAGCATAATCAATAAAATATATTTTTAAAAAATTTTAAAAAAAGAAAATGTTCATCTGAAAGAGCATTAGGAAAAAGGAAAATTGCTCTTATCCAGAGAAACTGATCATCCTTTAACAAATTAGTTTTTCTAAATCAAGCTGTGTATTATCTCACAGAAGACAATTAATTTCCTCCTAGTACAATTATTTTTTATTACTCTCTGAATCGCATTTCGATATGCAATTATCTGCTTTTCTGAAGATGGTGGCTTTATTATTTTAATTATTAAATAATTTATCCCAAAGCCTAAAATGGAGAATAAAACAGGTCAGATAGACCTGTTGGCAGCAGTGAGAGCAGCGCCAGGTGTTGGGCCGGCAGGGTCAGACCCGACCTGGGTTCAGCAGCCTTGGTCCTTGAGTTCTGGCTGGGAAAGAATTCAGAGCCACGACTTGAACTGTAAGAGAACGTGTAGTTAGAGAGTCACAGAGGTAGAAGGTGTGAGCAGTAGAAGACACAGGCTCAGGAAACAAGTTACAGAGGTGAAAGAAGGGCCCTTGGAGAAAGGTACAGGTGGCCATGGGGGGAGGGGACGGGCGAGGAGGAGAGAGGCACAGGTGAAGGAGAGCCCTGGATCCTCAGTCCTGAGGGCTTGTAAGGGGGGAGAGATTAAGGGAGGTTCCAGGGGAGGATCTCAGTAGAATTTCTTCAGCTTCCCAGGTGTGTCCTCTCAGGGTCATGGTCTCCACTGACTGGTTGGTGCCAGGGCAGGGGCTCATTGTCAGCCATGGTGTCACTTGTCTGCTTTTGCTGCTTTCCTGGGCCTGGAGCTGAAACACAACCGAGACCAGGATGCATTTGATGCGGGTCTGGACCTCACTGTCCTGGGGGCTCACTGCTGAAGGGCTGTTCTCTGGCCTTCTTGTTCCTTCCCTCTCTAAGGGGATCTAACCCACATGACTAGCAACATGCCAGGGGAGGAGAGGTCAGGGGAGGGTCTGAACCGCATGACCAGTGATATGAAAGGTCAGGGGGTCTAAACCCTAATCCCTGTTTTCCCAGCTTTGACCATTGCTAGGCACCTGAAGCTTTGGGCCCTTGTGACCTTCTGTACCTGGCCTGCCATCCTTGCTCTGATCATGTCTGTCTACCTGCCTGCCACAGGCCACATGTTATATCCCAGCAAAATCATTATAGCTTATGATTTTTAAAGATCTGAAAAAGGTCGTATGGGCTAACCTGCCTCGTCCACAGTTTAGCATACACCTCCCTATGGAAGAACTTATTGAAAACAATGAAAACTGTTGAGCAAAATACAAAAGGAGGATAATTTTTCAAATTAACACGCCAAAATGAAAGTATTGGGAAGCCAGAGTATTAGGCCGCCTGAAGCCCCACTTATCCTGAATCCTGGTGACACTGTGGACAGAAAACAGCCCAAGACCTTTGCAAAGTAGAGAGTGTAATGGGAGGTAAAGCGGGACCCCAGGCGACTGGGAGCCCAGAGTGAAGGGGAGAGGAAGTGCATCTGCACCTAAAAGGTGAAAGAAATGAGATGCTGACTTTGGTACTGGGCAGAGGTAGAAATCAACTTCCCTGAAAATTTCCGACCGCAAGCTGGTCTTCACATACATCCACAGCCCCGTTACCCTAACTGTGAAGTCCAAAACCCAAAGAGGGTTTTTCAATGAGGTTACCAAGGTGGTTGGCACAGGCAAATGCAGCTTCTTCTGAAGTAATGCACCTTCAAACCAGGCCTCAAAGGAATTCTATGAAGCTCAACAAATGTAATTTTATAGTAAAAAAAATGGTAGTAAAAATAAGAGCAAGAAGAACACAACATATTTGTCTCACTCATAGAAAATATAAAACTATATGATCAGTGTTTAAGTATATGAGATATTTAAAAATAAGAATAGATATAAATTGACTAAACACACATTTAGAGAACCAAATGTATTTTTTAAAATTTTATTTTAAAAACAATAGAAAACAAAGTAGGGGAAAAATAACAAATGTACAGCCAAAAAAAAAACCCCACAGAAAAAAAGAAAGCACAAAATAAGATAGTATACATGCCAGCAATTTAAAAGCCTAAATCTGTAACTAAAAAACAGAATTTATATGACTGGACTTTAAAATAATTTAGGTGTATGGCATTTTTAAAGACATTTCTCCAGGCATTTTTATTAGAGATTTAAAAAAAATATTCCTTTATAATTGTGCCCTGAATATATGTTGAAATACAAGAAGAAAATGGAATTATACTGGCCAAAATAATTACTCAAAATATTTTATAGACTTTAAGAGAAATAAAATGAAATACTTTACCTTTTAGGAAAAATCATTATTTTTAATCAAGTTAGCATTACCTGAAGTATGGCCATGTATAGAGGGTAACAGCTATTTGCAAAGTGGTGAGAGTTTTCTGTCCACATACTTCAAGTCTAAAATTTAGGGTAAAATTAATATTTATACTTCATAAATCTAAAAATATACATATTTAGGATTTTACCTGAAACATATACATTACGTGCAGTACCTTATAAACGCCTGTGGCGTTTGCCATGATTTCACACTCCCGGCAGGAGGACGCGCCCCATGTCTCGGGACAGGGAGTCGACCCAGTCGCCCGGAAGTGAGTGAAATACTTCCGATGAAGCCCTGCGGAGCGGGTGTTGATTAACGCTGCCTACTGACGAATTCTCACCTTTCTGAACCTCTTCACAGCGCTGCGAGACACTGGGAAGCAGTCTATCAACAGCGACTGGAAGATCGAACATTCCGGAGCCTTCAGCTTAGCGGGAACTACTGTTCATTACGTCAGACGAGGCCTCTGGGAGAAGATCTCCGCCAGAGGTCCCACCACATCACCTTTACACCTCCTGGTATGAGGGAGGGTCGATGATGACACTGTGTAATCAGTCCCTGTGGCGAAGGACATTCCCGCCATGCCTTCTGTAGTCTTTTTTCCAAATTTGAAATGTCAGGTAGACTTAAAATCATTTAAGAGGCGGGCTTTTAGGGATTTTTTAAAATGTGTTTTCAATCGTGATATATAAAAACGGAAATTATTACAAGAGGAACCAAATTTTATAAGGGACCCACAGACTCAAAGTAGAGGTGAATTACAAGCAACAAAAAACCCTCTTTTTCCTGAAAGCATGCATTTGCTAACCAGAGCAGAAGTCTGCAGAGAGAGTGCTGTGGTGTGGTGAATCATCGCATTTTATACATCCAGGAAATGGGCCTTGTCTGAATCTGTATAAAATGCCTTCGAAAAAATGATACTGTTTCTGGGGAAAAGATTTGGTGAATATATCCAACAGTGCTTTCAGTTACCCTGTTCTGTTTTCGTACTAGGTTAATTGATTCCTGTACAGAATTACAAAGTTTGGAATGTTTGTAATGGTTTGTAATGGTTTCTCTACCATGTAATCAAAGATGGGGTGTGAGGCAGGACAGAGTTTGGAGTGAAAGAAGCAGGACCCTGGGGCCCTGTGCCCAAGGCAGTGGCAAGTTCAAATGCCCTCTGTGACCTTCATCACGGCAGGCAGTGAGAACGGCTTGGGAGCCAGAGGTCTGACTGCAGAGCTGGCATGTTTTCCGTCCTGGTGACAAAGTCTAAAATTCAGGCATGTCAACACCTCTTTAAGTCCACATGTAGAAACAACTTTAAAACACGATCGACTGACTCTTTATTTGGAGTGTGGTGTGCCACGTTATTTAACATCGCCACACAATTTAAGCTGAATTTGCCTTCAATTGGAGACATCTGTGTTGCTAGACTAGGCATCAGAGGTTCAAATCACGTACTGGCCCATTTGCTTTTCCTACTTTAATGTGCCGGCAATGCGCCCGGGGTTCTTGTTCAAGTGCACACTCTCATTTACTTGGTCTGGGGAGGAACCTGAGAGCTGCACTTCTCACCAGCTCCCAGGTGATGCCCCACTGCTCCTCCATGGGCCACATTTAATATAACAATGTTTTCTCCAATTTCAATCAAGAGGTTTTATGGACAGGGATTAAGGGAGTAAGGAGAGTTGCATGCGGACCACTGTTCCAAATCTTGATGATGATGATGATGATGATGATGATAATACCATTCACTGAGCACTGAGTCAGACACTGTCCGAAGTGCTTTACATTCATTACAGCATTCAATCCTCACAGTAACACTGTCACATGGGTTATCGTTATTGTGTTGTACTGAACAGCTAATACTAGAGAGGTTCAGTAACGTGCAGGGTCTCCCAATAAGTCATTCGGCTGAGAATAAATCGGGTGTTAATCACTCTACTACGATGCTCTCCTGATGTGAAGCTTAGACCTGAGCTTTTCACAACAGCCTTGGAACACTGGTGTGTGTTCTTGGAATAATTATTCGTTCATCTCCCCACCATTTCTTTGAACCCTATTATTTCACTTGAATGGGGAACTTCACTCTGTGCTGGGCGCCATCTGGAGAGGAAGAAGAAAGTGACTAACCAACATTGTATGCCCAATATCTGGCTCTTTCCATGGCTGGGTCACTTATTTTTTAAATTTACTTTTCAGTTACAGTTGGCATGCAATATCATATCAGTTTCAGGGGTACAACATAGTGATTAGATGTTTATATACCTTAGGAAGTGCTCACCCCAGGGCCACCTAAAATGACCACATCCCCAGCAACCAACATTTTTAATGACTGAGTGGCAGGAAATGCCATCAGGTGGCCCACATTTTTTATGGGACGAGACCAAAGCTCTTGCACTGAGCCTTTAATTCCAAATCTTAAAACAGTCAATGTGAGGCCTCAGTGCTGGGCAGAGGGGCTTCCCTTGCTGCAGAATTCTTAATCTGACTGGTAGTTACCGAGGTTTTTCCTGGAAGCCTGACACATAATTAAAGTTAGTGAACTATGTCTAAAAGAAGGCATCTATGTGACCTGGATTTATTCAGTAATCCAAGGGAAACTGCACTTCTAAGATGTTTTTCCTTAATGACTATTGCAGACTGAGAGCCTGAACTGCACTTTGAAAGGCAGCGCCTCTGCCATGCCTTAGTCTCTGCCCCTCCAGCATAAGGCTGTCACACTTTCCTTCTTGCAAAAGCGCGTGGCCAACTTCACACGGTTTCAGGAGGGGCTGGTGGTGGTGTAGCCGGGGTGTCTATTTTAAAGGGCATTATTTATTCAAGGACAATCTGAAGTCCTATCAATGAAAAGGTCAGAAAGATCAACAGGTTTTTATTTAGTTAGATAAGTTGGCAAGTAGCTGTTCGTTATGTTTGCTTCATCAATTGAAACGCTATGTAATAACCAGCCTCATTGAGAAGAAGAGAGGACCCAAATAAATAAAATCAGAAGTGAGAGAGAATAACAACTGACACCATGGAAGTATAAAGGATTGTGGGAAAATATTACAAACAACCATATGCCAACAACTTGGACAACCTGGAAGACCTGGGTAAGTTCCTAGAAACATACAGTCTTCCAAAATGGAGTCAAGAAGAAATAGAATCTGAATAGACCAATAACAGCTAGTGAAATTGAAGCAGCAATGAAAAAGCTCCCAGCAAACCAAAGTCCTGGACTGGATGGTTTCACAGGTGAATTTTACAAACATTCAAAAAGAACTAACACCTATTCTTCTCAAACTATTCCAAAAAATTCAAGAGTAGGGAAGACTCCCAAGCTCATTTTATGAGGCCAGCAAGATCCTAATTCCAAAACCAGATAAAGACAGTACAAAGAAAGAAAATTATAGGCCAATAACCCTGACAAACATGGATGCTAAAATCCTCAACAAAATATTAGCAAACCAGATCCAGCAATACATTAAAAAGAATATACACCATGATCGACTGGGATTTATTCTGGGAATGCAAGGTTGGTACAATACCCACAAATCAATAAATATGATTCACCACATAAACAAAATGAAGGAGAAAAACCACATGATTATATCAGTAGATACAGAAAAAACACTTGATAAAATCTAGTACCCATTTATGATAAAACCACTCAGCAAAGTGGGAATAGGGGGTTCATATCTTCACTAATAATGGCCACACATGACGAACCACAGCCAACATCATATTCATGGACAAAAACTACAAGCATGTCTAAGATCAGGAATAAGACAAGGATGTTTGCTTTTACCACTCTCATTCAACACAGTACTGGAAGTCCTATCCACAGCAATCACACAAGAAGAAGAAAAAAGATGCATCCAAATTGGAAAGGAAGAAATAAAACTGTCATTACCTGCAGAGGATGTGATACTGTATGTAGAGAACCCTGAGGAGTCCACCAAAAAACTACTAGAACTGATAAATGAATTCAGTAAAGTAGCAGGATACAAAATAAATATTGAGAAACGAGTTGCATTTTTATACCCCAGTAATGAGCTATTGGAAAGGGAAACTAAGAAAACAATCCCATTGGCAATTGCTTCAAAAAGAATAAGATACCTAGGAATAAATTTAACCAAGGATGTAAAAGACCTATACTTGAAAATTGTAAGACACTGAAGAAAGAAACTGAAGAAGATACAAATAAGTGGAAGCACACACCGTGTTCATGGATAGGAATAATTAGCATCACTAAAATGCCCATACTACCCAAAGCAATCTACAAATTCAATGCAATTCCCCTCAAGATACCAATGCACATTTCAGAGTTAGAGCAAATATTCTAAAAATTCATATAGAACAAGAGACTCCAAACAGCCACAGCAACCTTGAAAAAGAAGAACAAAGTTGGAGGGATCACACTGCCTGATATTAAACTATACTACAAGGCCATAGTAATCAAAACAGCATGAGACTAGCAAAAAAAATAGGCAGACAGATCAATGGAACAGAATAGAGAGCCTGGAAATAAGCCCATGCCTTTATGGTCAATTAATACTTGACAAAGGAGGCACAAACACAATGGGGTGAAGATAGTCTATTTAATACATGGTGTTGGGAAAATTGGACAGTTACGTGCAAAAAAAAAATGAAATTAGACTATCTTCTTATACTGTACATGAGAATAAACTCAAAATGGATTAGAGATTTAAGTGTTAGACTTGTAACTGTAAAAATCCTAGAAGAAAACATAAGCAGTAAATTCTCAGACAATGTCATAGCAATATTTGTTTTGATACATGTCTTCAGGCAAGAGAAACAAACAAGAAATAAACAAATAGGAATATGTCAAACTAAAAAGTGTTTGCTTAGCAAAGGAAACCATCAACAGAATGAAAAGACAAGCCAGTGAGTGGGAGGATATACGAGTGTTAATAATGGCCAGGCTTTGTCCAGACAGACGTCCATGTTTTTGTGCATCACGATGTATAGATGGCTTCTAAACACCTTCGGATTCACAGAAGTGATGGATCCCATGGAGTGGTCCAACATAGTTTGTGCAAATGTATTTATAAAGAAACATAGTTTTACTCTTCCTTTTTCTTAAGATGAGTATATTTCAGGTATGTTTCTTCTTTTAAAGTATGTATGATTGCCCATAACCAGTTTTGAGCCCGGAACAGGATACCAGGGAGAACAAATCAGACAGTGTCCCTGCCTGCATCCAGCGTAGCCCCAAACCCAGGCATTCTCATGTCTTCATACGTCCTTTAGAGTTTATTACACCGTTCACATGTGTGCACATGACTGTGCCATTACTAAGTTAAGGTTTTGACAAAATTCAAAATTAACTAAGTATACATAGAATGAAATTCTTGCCCTCTAGTTGGCTTTGAAGTTCTCCACCCTTATGGAGTAAAAGGAATTCCAAAGTCTTCTGTCCTCTTCCCTGTCAATACAGGGACTTTGTAGTCATATTTCTATTTTATGTGAATCGAAAGGCTACATTCGATATTGACATGTGGGTTACAGCTTGATGTTAGAGAGGATACATACTCAAGTCCACCAACTTGAAAGCAAACGATCTGGTATCTCTGACCTCATTCAAGTGGTCTTGTCTTCACGATGCCTTTAGTTCAGAGGTGAGTATGGAACTAGTACCTTTTCAGAAGTATGACATTTACAACACTGAAGCCATAAATTCACATTTCTGCTGTTTATTAAAGAAGTGTGCATACCATTCAATAAGTATTTGAGGCTACGAGCATCCAGTTTATGCTTCACATTGAGTGTACTCTCCTCTGATCCACCTGCCTTCATCACTTTCGTGTATTACATTGTAGGTGCTGTTATTTCAAGACCAGACTTACGGCCTTCACTATGAATACACCATCCCCTCAGACCCCCCGGCTGAGAACCAGAGCGCTAAAGTCCCTGAACCGCTCTTCCTGTGGACACACACAGGCTGGGAAGATTGCGACGCCACGTGCGGAGGAGGTAAAGGATGGTTTCATCTATATCTTTCCAAAACAGTACTTGTTTTCTGATCGACTATTGATTATAAGACAGATCTGCAACCTCTTATCTGCAGTTCCAAACTCCATAAAGAATTGGGAACTGAAAGTTTTTGTGGCACATTTAGTGGCTAAATACCTCAACTATTCAATATTTTGTGGCAAAATTTGATGTGACTTGAAAAAAGGCCATTGAGATGTGTTACATACGTCACTTACTATGATTACTCATCGCTTTGCTCTGTCTAAACACCGATGTGTTTGCTCACAGAGGCTGTCCTGACCACCATACTCAGTGTGATGTCACACACATGCACTTTCTCTATTTTACTTTTTATCTGTATAAAATATTAAAAGTTCTAAATTCCAAAGTGCATCTGCCCCCAAGACCTGGAATGCATGTGAAGGCGCTAGGAAAGAGGGGTTGAGTTTGCCTCTGTCTTGTCTGTGTACTTAAGTTAAATATGTATATTGCAGATGAAGAAAATAATTTCCCCAGTTCCTTTCTTTTCATTTGTTTTAGAGTATGTCAGTGTTTTCAATAAATACAGAAGTATCCTGAAATTTGAATCAAAGATTTTTTTAATTTTTGCTTTCATATTAGAAGTTGCGTAGGTAAAAGTACAAACTCCTTCGGCATGAAATGTGAGTCCTGGAAATCAGGAAGTCCTACGAATGAGACAGGCGGCTGCCACGGTTGAACGGGTGGCCAGTTACAGAACCAGTGAGTGCCAAGGCCAGGTCAAGATTCCAAGTCACTAGACTCCCGACTTGCACTTGTAACATGTGTATCAGCAGTGGTATTCCCAGTATTTCTGTTCTCATTTTCATTTAGCAAATTTCCAGCTGCTATGTAGTAACAGAGGCCCTCTGAAGCTTAAAGGAAACATTGTATTTAATTAAACAAAAGTATATGTTATCTGTACAATATTAACTGCTTAGCACAAAGAGGCAGAACATCGATTTTGTCTTCTAGGCAAAGAGATAGCTACTACACATAACGTAAATTCGCACAGCAGGAGTTGCTGAGAGCGCAGAAGGAGACTGGCACCTGAAGGGGAATGTTTGGGAGAAAGGGAAACAGAAAACATACACATAAATAATTAACATAGAATCAAGTTGTGATAAGTACTCTGGGTAAAAATTCCAGAGAGGGAAATGAGTAGGGCCAATGAAGACGGGAGGGGACAGGTGCAGGATATGGTAGTCAGAAAAGGCCTTAAGGAGTTCACACTGATTTAAATATCTGGTATGGATGGGTGCCACCTATGGGGACATCTGGGGCAAAGAGCTCCAAGCAAAAGCCTGAGGCAGCAGTAGAGGGGGCACGTGGGAGGGGTGGGAGGGGTGGGAGGAACACTAGCGCAGCCCCCTAAAGGGGGCTCTAACTGATGTGAGATGCCGTTGGAGAGTCTGAATACAGGAGTGACTTATTCTGGCTTATGTTTTAAACAATTATTTCTGTTTCTGAGCTGAGAGTAGATAGAATAAGGGAAAAGGGTAAAAGCAGAGAGCTCAGTCAGGAGGTTATTGCAATAATCCAAGAAAGAGATGACTGTAGTTTGACCATGGAGGTAGCCATGGAGGCAGGGGAAGTGGTCGAGTTCTGTGTGTATTTTGAAAGTAGAGCTAATAGAATATGTTGACGGATCAGATGTGGAACATGAGAGAAAGATGTCAAGGACAACTGTGATGGTTTTGGCCAAGTGACTGGCAGGATGAAGTTGCCACTGACTTACATGGCAAAGCCTGTGGCATAGCACAATCAAGAGAGTTTGATTTTCAGAACAGATTTGAGATGCCTACTGGAATTCTAAGTATGATGTCAAGTAAGCAGTTGGATATATAAGTGTGGTGTTCAGGAGAGAAGATTGGGCTAGAGATACACAACATGAGGTCTGTCTGGAAAAAGTCCACATTGTTAATATAACAATAATGGTCTGTGTGAGACATCGATGTAGCCTGGCAGCCAAGGAGAGTGGACTGGAATGCACACGTGTGAACAATGACACCTTCACTGTACTAGTCAGTGGGGGCAGTAGACATGGTTGAGTGAGCATGTGTGCTGTGTGGCCATCACATTCAAAATGACTGAGCAAGTAGAGCAGCAAATCTGCATCAAATCTTGCATTAAGCTTGAACATTCCTCCATGGAAACTATTTGGGTGATGCAGAAGGCTGCAGCTGTGGACAGCTAGTGATTGGCAGCTTCATAATGATGGCACAGCCACTTATGCAGAGTTTTTTGGCAAAACATCAAGTTACCCAGGTGACTCAGCCCCCGTACAGCCCAGACTTGATGCCCTGCAACTTCTGGCTTTTCCCAAAATTAAAATCATCTTTGAAAGGGAAAAGATTTCAGACCATCGATGAGATTCAGGAAAATATGACAGGGCAGCTGATGGAGATTGGGGGAACTATGTGAGGTGCCAAGGTGCCTACTCTGAAGGGCACAGAGACTTCATTGTAGTATGTACAATGTTTCTCATCTCTTGTATCTTCAGTAAATGTCTCTATTTTTCATATTACATGGTTAGATACCTGCTGGACAGACCTTGTATATGGATGACATTTTTAAATGCTATGGCTAAGGGAAGTCACCTAACGAGTGAGTGAAGAGAGAGAAGCTGTTGGAGTATTGAGCCTTGAGACACTGCATCATCTCAAGTTCAGAGAGATGAGGAGGAAGAGCAGAGCAGATGAAAGCAAGTAGCCAACTACATAGGAGAAAAGCCAGGCAGGTGAGAACGCTTTCCTGTGAGGCAAGTGAGAAAATGTTATAAGAAGGACACAATGATAGACTGTATCAAAGCTGCTAATGAGTCAAAAATAATGTGGCTTTGGGTGGTAAACACACGATGCAATGTGCAAATGATGTATTACAGAATTATATACTTGAAACCTATACAATTTTATTAATCAATGGCACCCCAATAAATTTAATTTTAAAAAATGAAAAAAGTGGGCTGAGAATTTACTCATGTCTAAATATATTTATTATATTTTCAAATACATTATATGTAGTATATCTGAAACTAACAGATCAATGATGACACTACTGAAGTTAATTTTCGCAAAGTATTTGATTCAAAAGCCGCAGTGGAGTGGATTCAAGAGAAATAGCCTGCAGTGAATTGGAGGAAGGACTCAGGGCAACTCAGGAAACGTCGCTGAAAGAAGAAACTAGACGAATGTGGCAGCAGTTGGAGGGGAATGCGAGTTGACGAGTTCATTGCTGTTTTTAACAGGGGGAATAACACAGGGTTGTTTGCCAGAGTGTGTCTTCTGGAACAGAACAGGAAACTAGTGATGCGAATGAAGGAGCAAAAAATGCTGGAGTGGTATCCCTGGGTGGACAAGATGGGACGCAGTGGAGCAGGTGGCATGAGGTAGAAATACGGACAGCCCTTCACCAGTAATGGGAAAAAAGACAGTACGGTGTGTGTGAATTTATGGTGGAACTGTCCCCTGGTCATGTCAGTTTTACCAATAAAAGCTTCCTGTTGAGAGGGGAGGTGGAAAAGAAATGTTGGAACTTTGGAAAGAGGTCACTTAAGAGAACGAGAGAATGAGTGGACAGGTACATGGACTTTAATCGCAGGGTCGCACTGGCGGTCCACATCAAGTTAATGGTCGTGAGCTCAGTTTGACACCCATCATTATAATGCATGCTGCCTTCAGCTGTGTACGGCCTGCGGCAGCACCTGTGCAGTAGGTTTGGGAATTGCCAGGTGGATATAATGAAAAGAAAGGAGACTATGGTTGACCTGAGGTGGTTTGTAAGGAGTTGAAGATAGTTGGCCATGGAATTGAGTTGCATAAGGGAAAAAAGAAAGGTGTGAGGGCATGAAAGACAGTGAGAAGGTGGTAGGATTGGTGGATCATAGGACCTAGCGGGGCTACAGAACTTTTAGAGCCAAGGTGTTAAAGGGACGGGGCTGGAAATCCAGGAGATAATGGCGGGAGACAGAGTGGAGATCACGGAGGAGCGCGAGTGACTGGTGAAGACAGGACCAGGGGAGTTTCTGGCCCAAAGTGAAAGGTAAGTTCTTGAGGAAGAGGTGAAGGCCCCTCAGGAACTGAGGGGCCTCAGTGTCGGAAGAGTCATTCAGATCGATATCGTGATTACAAAACTTGTGCTGGGGGCAGTGTTAGAAAATAGAGTACTAATGCAGTGGCTGAAATCTCAAAGAAAGGGAGTGGCCCAGAGGTTGAAGTCTGACGTCACCAAGAAGGGGCCTGGGCGGCAGAGTCTGGAGACAGAGGAGGAAGAAAGGGGCAATGGGCCAGTAGCAGCGTCGAGGCGCAGGGACACCCACGCTGCCTCTGCATCAGAGGTACTGAGAACAAGCAAGAAAATGGCTCCCCACTGGGGCCGTGGGGAAAGAAAGGGAGGGTCCTCAAGGGAGAGAAAGAAACATTGTGGGGAACACCCAGAGGTGCAGAGGGTGGGGGAGCAGCTGTTGTTAGGACACTCAGGGCCCTGGGTGCTCATCTGGCTCCTGAGCACCTGCCCTCCCGAGCAAAGGCCTTGTTTGGGGCACCGGAGGAGGTGGTGTCACAGAACACACTTGGCCCCCTAGGACACAGTCATTGCAACAAAGGGATTTCAAATTGGTCTTGCAACTTAGAAATGTTGATCGGTCCCACTTGCCATAACACAATTGCCTTTGGCCACGTGTCTCCCAGGGCCCTGATTTGCCAAGTGACTTGGGACCCTCCATCCTCCTGCCCCTCCTGCAGACCCTCCCATGTCCACCCGCAGGCCTGCTCCCCACCCCCCTTCACTGCTGCCAGGGCCCATGCCATTCATGGGGCTCTGCTTCATGTCCTCTAGCCAAATAAAAAACAAAAACAAATAGAAACAAGCATATTTGAAATGAAAATCTATACATGTCGAATCTTCTGTGCTCTGTAACTTGGGTACAAGCTGTGGGCAGGGGAGTGGTGAAAGGTGGTGGTTTGTGTCAGAGCCCTGACGGA